GCCGAGATGGTGGAGTTCTTCGACACGGGGAAGAAGGACGAGAAGCACCGTGCGCCCCTCGGGGGCGGCAGAGAGGGGCGCAGGAGTTTGGGTGAAGTGGATTCAGCTGAAAGGGGGTGGTGCACATGCACTGCGCCAGAGAATCGTTTTACATCATATTGCAAGTAATGCACTGCACGCGGAAATCCAGCAATACATGTGCGCCCCGGAATGTACTGCGCGCCCCCAATGTATTGCAACCCCACAAATCTATTGCACCAAATCTACTGCACCACACCCTTGTCGCTTGACCTCCTTTGGGTCAACCCGAAGGATGGTGGGGAGAGATCCAACGTATTGAAAAATTCAGACGGAGGTTTTTCGTAGGTTTCGACCTCTAGCCAGGCCCCGGGACCGTCAGAAGACGGTTCGGGATGAAAAGCCGGGGAAGGGGTCGGGGCTCAGGCCCCCAGAGACCAGGGCATTGATTAGCCAGGACATCGGCAAGCCGGGGAAACGACACCGTTTCCAGCAAAGTCAGGTTTGGTCGTCCGGTGCAGTTTTTGTTTCCGCTGCACTGCAGATCCGGGTCTTTGTCCGGGTCTAACCTCTAGAAGTCTTTAGTGTTTGCCCCCCCAGGTGCTCTCGGCGGTGAATAAACTGGCCCTCTTCTCTCCCTCCGTCCTCCTCCTCCTCTTGTTCCTCCTCTTGCTAGGGTCAAGAAGCTTCTTGCAAGCACTGGCGAGGCATAACTTACTGGAGGAGAGGAGGAGGAGGAGGAGGAGGAGGAGGAGGAGAAGGAGGAGGAGGAAGAGGAGAGGGACGAGGCGGAGGAGGAGGAGGAGGAGGAGGAGAAGAAGAACGAGGAGGAGGAGGAGGAGGAGGAGAAGGAGGAGGAGAAGAAGGAGGAGAAGAAGAAGGAGCAGGTGGAGGTGGAGGCGGAAGAGGAGCAGGGGGCAGGAGGAGGAGGAGGAGGAGGAGGAGGAAAAAGGAGGAGGTTGATGATGATAGGGGAGGAGGAGGAGGAGGAGGAGGAGGAGGAGGAGGACTTCGTTTCCCAGTAATGCGCGCCGCGCTGAAAAATTGTGGACGGATATTTCTCCAATCGGACAACTCCTCCTGGGCTACCCTCCACGCGAAAGGAATGTCGAGCTTGTTCGTAGGGAGGCGTGCAATACAAATCAATGCATCGGAGGAGGAGGGGAAGGAGGAAGAGGAGGAGGAGGAGGAAAAGGTGGAGGAGTAGGAGGAAGAGGAGGAGGAAAAGGAGGAGGAGGAGGAGGAGGAGGAGAAGAAGGGAGTTGAAAAGGACGAGGCGGAGGAGGAGGAGGAGGAGAAGAACGCGGAGGAGGAGGACGAGGAGGAGGAGGAGGAGGAGCGAGGAGGAGGAGGCGGAGGAGGAGGAGGAGGAGGAGGAGAGGAGGAGGGAGGAGGAGGAGGAGGAGGAGGAGGAGGAGGAGGAGGAGGAGGAGGATGGGGAGTTTGTTTCCCACTAATGCGCGCCGCGCTGAATAATGGTTGACGGTTATTTCTCCCATCGGACAATGCCTCCTGGGCGACCCCCCACGCGAATGGAATTTCGAGCTTGTTCGTAGGAAGGGTTGCAATAAGAATCGACGCACCGGGGCAGGAGGGAAAGGAGGAAGAGGAGGAAAAGGAAAAGGTGGAGGAGTAGGAGGGGGAGCAGGAGGAGGAGGAGGAGGAGGAAGAGCAACTCAGGAGGAGGAGAAGGAGGAGGAGGAGGAGAAGGGGGAGGGGGAGGAGGGGGAGGAGGATGAGGAGGAGGAGGGGGGATGAGTTTCCCACTAATGCGCGCCGCGCTCAATGATAGTGGACGGATATTTCTCCCATCGGGCAATGCCTCTTGGGCGACCCTTCACGCGAAAGGAAGTTCGAGCTTGGTCGTAGGAGCGGTTGCAATAAGAATCGAAGTATCGGAGGAGGGGGAGGAGAAGAAGGAGGAGAAGGAGGAGAAGAAGGAGGAGGAGGAGGAGGAACAGAGCTCCTTGGCATGTATTCCGTGAGAGGGTCGTGAGCCCCTGAGCTGTCAGAGCGAGAGTGTCAGCGCAATGAGCGTTTTAGAAAGTTCTCGGGCAATGGGTTGCAGAGCAACGAGTTCCAGAGCAATGAGTTTCAGAGCAATGAGCTTCAAAGCAATGAGTTTCAGAGGAATGAGTTTCGGAGCAATGAGTTTCCGAGCAGTGAGAGTTTCAGAGCATTGAGTTTCACAGCAATGGATCTTTGAGAGTTTCAGAGCAATGAGCCTTTGAGGAAGTTCCCCAGCAATGAGTTCCAGAGCAATGAGTTTGAGAGCAACAAGTTCCAGAGCAATGGGCTTCGGAGCAATGAGTTTCATAGCAATGAATTTCAGACAAATGAGTTTCAGAGCAACTGGTTTCATTGCAGTGGGAGTTCCAGAGCAATGTCTTTCAGAGCATTCAGCCTTTGAGAGTTTCAGAGCATCCTCCGTCTCCTCCCCGTCCTTCTCCTCCTCTTCCTCTTTCTCCCCCTCCTCCTCCTCCTCCTCCTCCTCCTCCTCTTCGTCGTCGGCGTTGTCGTCAGCGGCTGGGGAGGGAAAACCATTACTAGTTTCCGTTGTCGTCGGGGCCCCAGTCCGTCAATAAGGTCGCCAGAACAATATTGAGTTTCCCATTGCTGCGGGGGTTTGTCGTAAAGGCTCTTCGCGGTTATGGGGGGGGGGGGGCGCGCAGGCTTTTAGGGCATGCGTCGGGGTTTACTCCGGGAGCGCTGCACTGCGATATTGTATCGAGCCGCATTCTGGGAACAATTGTCTCGAGGGATGCTGCGTGTCTTGGTCCAGCATGTCTGGTATTACGGGGCCCCGGGAGACTTCCGGGGGCCGCGCATGGACACAATCACGACGTCGGATCTCTGCGGAGGCGGGGACTTGCCAGAGGTTGTGCTGACGGGCGGGCGGCCTCGAGCCCGGGCAGCTCCGGCGGGGAGGTAGGAGAGGGAGGAGGAGGGGGAGGCGGAGGAGGAGGAGGAGGTGGAGGAGGACGAGGAGGCAAAGAGGACGATGAGGAGGAAAAGGGGGAGAAGGAGGAGGAGGAGGAGGAGGGGGAGGAGGAAGAGGAGGAGGAGGAGGAGGAGGCGGAGGAGGAGGAGGAGGAGCAGGAGCAGGAGCAGGAGGAGAAGCAGGAGGTGTAGGAGGAGGAGCAGGAGGAGGGAAAGGAGGAGCAGGAGGAGGAGGAGAAAGAAGAGAGAAGAGGAGGAGGAGGAGGAGGAGGAGGAGGACCAGTGTAAAACCAAGAGTCATCAACGATGTGGAAATTCACCCCCCCCAAGTTCACTTCAGACGCCCCCAAAACGGTTCATTTCCATTGAGGGGGCTGCTTCGTTTGAAGACAACCGTTTGAAGACCCTGAAGCATACCAAAACATTGTTTTCGGGATCTCTTCGCCACGTATCAACCTGATTGCTGCGTCTTGAGATCCGGAATCGTGCCAGAGCGCCGTTTCTGGGACTTCAACACCGAGAGCCAATATAACTGTTGCACCCGCATAATCCTGAACCGTTCCAAACAACAGTTTCTGGTACGCTTGTCATGGGAATCCGTGAGGCCCTTGCAATGTTTGAAAACGAATGTGCGCGGCGCCCAGGTGAGAGCCACATGTTGAAAAGGAGCCGCCCTCAATCCGTGAAATCTTGCAGCTGTTTTTAACGAATGTGCGCGGCGCTACGGCGGGAACCACAGTTTGAAAAAGGCCAGCCCTTAAACGTGCGAAATTCCTGCAAGTTTTGAAAACAAATTTTAGCGGCGCCAAGGCGAGAGCCACATGTTGAAAAAGAACCGCCTTCAATCCGTGAAACTTCTGCAAATGCGTGGCGCTAATGCGGGAGCCACATGTTGAAAACGGTCCGCCCTCAAAATGTGAAGCTCTTGCGAAAATTGAAGACGAATGTGCGCGGCGCCAAGGCGAGAGCCACATTTTGAAAAGGAGCCGCCCTCAATTCGTGAAGCCCTTGCAAATGTTTAAAGCAAATGCGCGCGGCGCTAAGGCGAGAGCCACATCTTGAAAACCATCCGCCCTCCATTTGTGAAACTGATGTCATTGTATAAGCTTCAGAGTCATAGATGGTGAGGAATTCGCAGGCGAAACGCCCAGCCCGCCCTAAAAACTGGCCTCGGGGTGCGACAGGGAGGATTTATCGATAAGGAGAAGGAATGGAGGAGGGGGAGGAGGAGGAGGAGGAGGAGGAGGAGCAGGAGGAGGAGGCCGAGCCCGGGCCTGGAGCTCCCGCGCTGGCGTTGAGGAGCGCCGCGGCAAGAGAGGAGGTCGGCGTGGGCGCGATAGGCGGGGCGCAGACCCCCAGGCAGCAGAAGTGTGCGGGAAGGGCTTCCGACACCGTGCGTGGCGCGACCTCTCGGGCTCCTCGTCCTCCTCCTGTTCCTCCTCCTCCTTCTCCTCCTCCCCCTCCTCCTCCTCCTCCTCCTCCTCCTCTTCCCCCTCCTCCTCCTCCTCCTGCTACTCCTCATCCTTCTTCTCCTCCTCCTCCTCCTCCTGGGCACCCGAGGGGGGCAGCACCTGGGCAGAGGCCGCTGGACCCCCCAAAACGAAGGCCAGGGGCCACCGAGACGCCCGCGGCGCATGCGCTCCAAAACGAAGGCTATGTGGCACCGAGACGCCCACGGCGCATGCGCTCCTTGCCGCCCCCGAAGCAGGGCAGGGTGGCTCCGCCGGGCGGGGGATCTGACGGAAGGGCTTGCTCAGCTAAGCTCGAGTCGGGCCTATCCCTCTACAGGAGGGATTGTCAAAAATAGTCGCAAAATAGTATGGGGACGATGTTTTGAGTATGTCTTGCTGTTTTTGAACATTTTGACCATCTTCGAATTTCCTTCCAAAATCCGCCTGTGGGAGGACGCCGGACCTAAAGCTGAGCCCTCGCGGCAGAGGGTCCATCATTACGGAGGACGGGGAGGAGGGAGGACGAGGACGGAATGGGGGAGGACCAGAGGACAAGAGGAGGAGGAGGAGGGAGGAGGAGGAGGATATGAGGATGGCGCAGCGTGGCGGAGGAGATGGGAGACAGAGGGGGGGGGGCTCG